CCTTTGTGCAAACCGCATATTCAACCTTCCCGTTTCCCTCCCTGCCTCTCATTAGGTTGTTAGAAGGGGAAACAGTATTGATCTGAGAAAGAAAGAGACCATTTCAAAAGATATGTAATTGGTTGACTTGCTCCGCTTGCTGTAAACCTGCCAGCTCTAGCTGGATGCCTGGGTAGAGCACTGTGAACCTTCTCCCCTGCCGGGCTGGTGGCTTCGAAGGAAGGAGGCATCCATACATTTCTCTGTGATGTCTGTGAGTTCAGACCCTTCCCTGCTGCTTGTCCTCACTGGGGCCAGTAAAGCGAGAAGCTTCGAGTGTTGACCCTAGAACTGATCCTTTGACCCTAGAACTGATCCGTCTTGATTCAAGTCCCACCTCTGCCACTTACCAGCTGGGTGACTGTTAACCTTTCTCCACATTAGCTTCCATGTATTAAGGCAGAGAATGATCTAGTACTTGCCATGATGGGTCCTTTAGATATACAAAAAAAAAAAAAAGCAAAATATGTAAAACTCAGGTATACATCAAAGGCTTGGTGAAGTGGCTTTGTGTCATTATTATCTGTGCAATACCTTAAAATACACACTTGACAAACATACAATACTGGTTATATAGAGTCACACAAAAGCCTATGCATTTGGAAGGAATTTTTTTTTCTTCACACACTGGATGAAATATTTGTTCTAAGGCCAGCATCTTAGGCAGTCCGTATATGCCATCTTGCTTAGTACTCTAATGAGCAGGTGGGAGTATCCACTGTGTAAGTGAAGAGAAATCTGGAGAGCAGAGAGGCTAAACAGTTGCATGTCATTGCACAGCTGGTAGGTAACAGAATGGCATTCCCACCCCGTGCTCATTTTGGAGACGGGAACTTTGCCCTGCGGCTTCCTCCTTGCTCCTGTTCCCCCAACTTTGCAGCTTTTCATGTAATACCAACTTTTACAACAAACCTCAGCTTTACCAACACGTTAAAGAACCCGACTCCCATGTCATGGAGACATACTCAGTGCTCTGTACACGGGACTTTGGCCCTTTCTGTTCTATTTTTAAGTTCCATTCTATTCTAATTCTTGCTTCATTTTTCTCTTTAAAAAATGCTATGCCCCACAGATTGACTTGGTGATCTGTTCAAGTCAGTACTGATCTGGCTTGAGAAGCCAGGTGCCCCTCCCTGTCTTTGTCAGAGTCACGGTGTACAGCTCTGTGTGTCTTTCTGGGGCCACTGTCTTGGAGATGGATGGTTATACTGTCTTCATTATACACGGGGGTCATAGGCCCAGGGACATAGAATGATATTCTGAGTCCCATTCCCAGGGAAGCTGCTGAGCCTTCCAAGTCATAATGGTGCTTCAGGTGCCCACGAATTCCTGTGTCCTTCATCCATTTACTCATTAATTTGTATCAGTGGATTGATTTGGCCTGAGATATTGGGCATGGGGTGCTGTCCATCATAGACAATCATTCACAAAGTGAAGCCCAAGTCTGTACCTTCTCTCAGGTTCAGATGCCCTATCCTGAGTCAGCTCAGCTCTGGTCCCCTCTTCCACGTTTTTCTGTATCCCCTTTTCTCTGTTCTCCATTATCACTGGTTCCTGATGGATCCCAGGGCATAGTGGGTGGACTCTCTGCCCACGGCCTTTGCATAGGTTGTTTCCTCCCTTAGACACATCCCTGCTCTGGGTGGTTTTGCTCAAACATCTTCTCAGTGACTTTTATCCTGAGCACCTGATTGCAGATGGAAGTCTTTTTCCCTGTCTCATCTGCCAACATCCCAGTCTCTCTAACCTGCATTTTTTAATGTAGCCCTTGCAACCTTAGGCACTCTGTTTATTACCTTTAGTATTCTCTCTAGCAATATCACTCACTCTGCTAAGTTGAAATATAGAGGCTAGGGAATTTTGTTGGTTTTGTTCGTCGCTTTTCTCTCCAGCACCTGTAATCTGCTACCTAGGAGGGCTCTGTGACTATTTCTTTACTTAATGGATAGATGGATAAACAGATGGGATAGACTATCATCCAGTTAAATATATAATTACCAACTATGATAAGATCAGAGGGGACAGACAGAGAGGTTCATGGAAGAATATAACAAGCAGACCTGACTTAGCCTGGGTGGGTTAATTTAGAGGAAACAGTTTTTTTAGCCTGGGAACATGAGGGGGATTTTAGTTTCCTGCAAATAGTGCAGGCCCTGCAAGCCAAAAGAAAGCAGAATAAAGGAATGATCTAAACCAAACAGAACTAAGAAGAGGGGGTGCCGTTCATTCATTTAGCAAACACTCTTTGTCAGAAGGAGAAGCGTCAAATCTCAGGTGGACATTTCCCACGGACCATGATACCTTTTGCCTCATTAACCTCACCAGCAGCACCTTGCATCGGATTCAAATGAGGGGACCCAAATGTTAACACTCAAGATTCTCTGCTATCAAGAGCCACAGCTGGGTTTCTAAATAGTCTCTTTGACTTCTAAACATGTGTTCTTTCACCCTCGGGGCACCTACTGTATGCGCATGGTACCAGAAAGAACCTCACACCGCCCCTGACCTGAAAGACGTTCACAGCATGCCTTGAGAGACACGTGGAAAATCCCCGAAGCTGAGATTCAGATATTGTCCTGGTCCCAGTCATTTCATTTCTGCATATGTCCTTGTTTTAGGTTCTTGTTGTTGCTTATAAAAAGCAGAGAAGGGAGATTAGATTATCCTCTTTGGCCACATAGGTAAGATGGAGTCTCTCTTGGGGGTTATTGACATGGCTTAACTTTCCATAGAGGGAGTCTGGACATGACTAACTAACTGTCCAGCTCAAGGTGTTGTCCTGCCCTGCACTGACCCATCACTGTCTTGGCTCTGGTCTGTCCTGCAGGGTGGTCTGGCAGACTGACAGACTGTGTGTAATCTCTTCCTGAGAGGCGAGTTCCTCCTCTGACTGGATACCAGTTCTTCGGCTTCTCCTTCTCCCTGTGTGGGATTTCTGGGGAAATTTTATTTTGGGGGGATCCATTGTCTTCACAGTCTGACAGCTGAAGGGAAAGGTGCAGGGGTTTCTTCAAAATGTCATTTCTCATGACAGGAAGGTCATGATGGCATGCACTTTCCTTTTAAACTTCAGTCTTGAGAGATTTAGGCAATTTGCTGGATTCGCCATGAAAATGCCTGAGATATGCTTGGCACACATCAATACTTCCTGTAACAAAATGTCTGAGGAAAACAATTTAAAGGGAAAAAAAGGTGAATTTTGGCTCATGTCTTCACAGGGTTCAGTCTATGACCCATGGCTTCACAGAGTTCAGTCTATGGCCTTTTCTCCCATCAATGGAGTAAACCTGATGGCCGAGCGCTGTGGTGGAGCATAGACAGGAAGGAGGGCTAGGGAAGTAGTCAGAGACAAAAATATACCCTTCAAGGTCATGTCCCAGTGACCCACTTCCTCTAGCTAGGTACCATCTCCTAAAGTTCCACTGCCTCCCCAGAGCTTAATAAGTTATGACCCATAAGTAAATTAACCCATCAATGAAGCCAGAAGTCTCATGATCTAACCAATTTCCCAAGGCATCACCTCTAGTCTCTGATACACTGATGTTTTGGGTTGAATATAATGTGTCTTCATAGACTCATAGACCACCGAGGTTTTAGCTACCAGCAGGTGGACTTGTGGGAGGTAACTGGGTCCTAAGAGCTCTTGTCTAGGCAGTGGATTAATCCAGTCACAGTATAAGGATGTTTAACTGGGAAGTAGTGAAGTAGGCGGTGGAACCAATAAGGTCAGTAGGTGACCTGAGGATGCTCCCAGGGACTATTGTCTGTCCTGACTTTTTCTGTATTTCCTCTGTCTAGTTCCTGTTTGCCCTCAGATGAGTGGGTCTCCCACCTGTTGCTGTCACCTTGACGTTCTGTTTCGTATGGATCTAATCTAAAACTGTGGAGGCAGGTGACCATGGACAGAAACCATGAGCCAAAACAGACCTGTCATACCCTTAAGTAGCAGTCTCTGGTTTCCAATCAGTGTCAAGGAAGGTAACTACCACAGTTAGGGCTCAGGCCTTCAACACATGAACATTTGGGAAGGTATTTCAGGCTCAAACCACAGCGATGTCTTCCTAGACTGTTTTCAAACTTTGCTAATTGGTTGATTTTGCCAGCCACCAGGTCAGATGTCTGCCACTTAGTACCTCGAAACTCTGTGACTTAAAGCAACAGTACACACTTATCGCTTCACAGTTCTTTCCCGTCAGGGATTTGGGCTGGCACACCTCCCTAAAAGTCCAATATCTAGTCTCAAATGATGTTACAGTCAAGTGGCCCGTGGGGACTGCAATCCCCTGAAAGCTTGACCGAGGAGAAATAGTCTTTTCCAGGGTGATTTGTTCACATGACTAGAGAGCCGACGCTGTCTGTGGATAAGAAGCATTGGGTCTTTGCCGATAGGTCTCTTCTAGTGTTGGTTTTGTGTCTCCAGATCACGGCTGCCATAGGAGACATAATTCAAGAAAGTGCAGAGTGGAAGCTGTGAGGTCTTTTGTGACCTCATCCCCAAATCGTGCATGCTGTTATTAGCCCCGTCGTTGAGGGGAGGTGGTACGGGAGGGCATGCATGTTAGGAAGTGAAATCACTGGAGAGCCGACGTGAAGATCGGCTCCCACAGGCACCTACTACTGTAAAATTATCCACCCAGTACTTCCTACTTTTTGTTCCAGCAAACCCTGTTCTAAACAATAATATCAATTAAGTAGTAAGATCCATGCGTTAATTATATTTTCCAGCACAAATGAATTTCAATTTGTAGTTACTAATTAAAAGCGGTTTCACTCCACCTATGCTAGCCTGCATACTGACAGCGGCACGGAGGTTACCCCTCAGAGAATGCTGGTTCCTGCATGGAAGAATGCATCAGAGTCCTGGCAGTTTTAACCATATATCCCAGCTACTCCCTGCTCCCCATTTGGAGCCTGAGAAACTACGAGGTTGGTTGATATTGCTGTCTGCTCTCTTTCCTCAGGACCGCCTGTACTTTGTGATGGAGTATGTGAACGGGGGTGACCTCATGTACCACATCCAACAAGTTGGCCGGTTCAAGGAGCCCCACGCAGTGTAAGTCAGAGCTCCTGCTGTACCCTTTCCTTGGGATAAATGGGTGCCAGTGCCTTTGACGTTTTAGCCAATGAGGCTTTCCAACATCTAAAGCTTCCTCTTTGTGAGGAATATTTGGCCAAAGAGAACCATATTCTGCTTATTTGGGGATGTTTCTTTATGTTCCCGAAGGCTGGCTAAGAACTCATAGCCCTAACCCAAAGGCTGTTTCATAATCTCTAAAATTATTTTTTGGCCCCTCAATCCTAAGGAAGGTCTTCCATCTTTCTTGGAGAATGTCTTAGCATTTTAGCAGGTTTTTGTTTGTTCGTTTGCTAATATTTATTGAGAGCTTTCTTTGTGTCAGCCCCTGAGTACTGAACAAACACGGTCTCGTTTTATCCCGAGCAGCACGGGGAGGGAGATAGCTTCATTCAAGCTTCACGAACAAGTGAACCGAGACCCGGAGCTGGGCAAACGTCAAGATTCTGGCACTAGTGGAGGATCTGTGTGGGTGAGGCCCACCTGTGTTAGTTCATCTGCTTCCTACACCTCTTTCCCTCTGACTTTGGGGGAGATAAAGGATCAAGTTGATTAGCAGCCGCAGTCTGTGGGTTCTCCATTTTGTTCCTTCCAATGCATAAGCCAGTAAGAAATAATGTATAAAATTAAAAAAAAAACTCACTAAGCTTTTTCTTTGCTTAGAACCCCGTGGGTGAGCAGGAACAGAAAAAGCCACAGCAATGAACGTCAATTCCCCTTCCTGGGTGTTTGCTTAGATCGTGTTGCTTCTCCAGAGTCCCGAAAGCCCCTCGAGGGCCTCACCCTGCAGTTCTGGGAGAGCTGTGGGCTGCAGTTCCTTTCGGCCTCCTTCCTCTCTTCCCACCTGCTGAAGGCAGGAGCACTATTTCCCATGCTTCCAACTCAAGTGTCGTGACGATATCAGAGCGAGGACTGCTTCTTTCTTCTTCTCAGACATGGGGTTGACCCGGGTTTAGCTCATTGCTATGTGACATGTTCTATGAGGACTCAACACAGATCCCTGAGGTCCACCCAACCCTTGTGCTATAACTGGCTTTTTAAAAAGCGTTCTTAAAATCTCTTTCGTGAACCAGGCACAGTGGCCAGACCTTGGGAGACTTACACAGGGAGATTTCACGTTTGAGGCAAGCCTGGGCTACATGACAAGTTACAGAGTTGAGCTACAGAGTGAGGTTAGACCTTAAGAAATAACATAAAAAAACAAGGACTAAGGATGTGCCTAGATGCACAGTAATCTGGTTTCTGTACCCCTGTATAGAACCTGTACCCCCTGTACAGAACCTGTACCCCTATACAGAACCTGTACCCCTGTACAGAACCTGTACCTCTATACAGAACCTGTACTCCTAGAACTCCCCCATAGACTTTTCTTTCTGGTAGACTTCCACAAAGAAGTTACACTTGAGACACCAGCTGTTTCCAGTCCTAGCTGGACCACTATTTGCTGTCTGTCTTTTCCAGGCTCTTCACAGACTTCATTTCTAAGCCTCGGTTTCCCTGTTTGTTTAGCAAAGGGACTACCTATGACCATGACACCCTGAATGCACCTGATCTCGTTTGTATAGCAAAGGTGTACTAGTAGGACCTATGGCATCACGTTCTAGGTTGAACTAAAACAGACAACCCTGGAAACAATGCCAAGTGCATGCTAAGCTCCCTACAGCTGTGAGATGCTCTCACTAAAATCTTTTAACACTCAGCAGAGTGAAAGAATCCTTCTGCACCAGCCTACCCACCCCATAGGCCCCTCACCACTATGCAGCTCCTGGCCCTTTCCCCATCGCCATGTGTCACTCGGAGCCATCCTGTTCGCCCACCCGTATGCTCAGCGCTTTATGAGATGTAGAGCTGACAGGTCATAGTGGGCTTTCCATGCCCTGTGCCTTGCTCAATATGATATCGACTTCCGGGAGTTGCCAAGCGTCTGGTGGCCTTGACTCTCTCCACCGCCATTCTTTTCCAATTTCAGATTTTATGCTGCAGAGATCGCCATCGGTCTGTTCTTCTTACAGAGCAAGGGCATCATTTACCGGTAAGTGAGCATGGCTGTTCTCTCCATCTCCACGGCTCCCTCAGCTCCTCCCTTCCTGCCTCTTTCTTCAACTGCTTTTAAAATTAGAATCTGTGGTGGGGGAGGAATTCTCCAGTACTAACTTGGGCATGTGTTCTGCCAGGCAGCATCGCCCACTGCCCTGGCAAAGTTTGGGCAGCTGTCTATGGTGATAGAAAAATCTTGATGGACTGTGTCACCCATGAATCTTTGGGACCTCAGACATGAGGACACTGAGTCTCTGAGAAGACATGCCTCTGACAAGAGGGTGCCAACACTATTCTCCTGGACCGCACATCCAGGAAGCATGGGAAGAATTAACTTGCAGAAGGTGGCAGGGCTGTACGATTATGCAACCATTTTCCTTGCATGTAGCTGCAATTTGGAAATAAATCTCCGAGTTGCTCTCCCTGAAAGACAGGATTAACTTCAGAAGTTGGCATTTGCCGGTTTGTGGAGAAACAAGTGTGTGATCATAGCTGTATGAGTCACACCATTTTATATTTCATGCAAGGCAGGGTAGCGAGCCTGAGGCTGCGATTTGTCAGCGAGTCCAGGGCGTACAGTTCCTCTTGTGCTACGTCGATGAGAATGGCACAGGCTACGGGGGAATGACTGGCTGTTATATAATAGGACCTGGTGGGGCGTGTGCTTTTATCAGCTCTTAGCATGGGCAAGGGTCTATTTAAAGGCCCCTGGGGAGTCATAGAAGCCCATTCTGTTCACTTGTTTGTCAGATATTCATCAAAAGCCTACTGTGTGTTGAGCACTGTTACAAGTGGAGGAAACAGAAAAGGAATGACAGCTGTTGAGCAAGAGACAGAAGTGACCTATATAGAATACAGAAGAGGGTGCTGGTGCTGGGGATCAATAGTCACCTTTCTAACACAGAAAGAATGGGAATTCTTGCCTGGAGTTAGACATGGCTGGGGCTCTTGGATCCGTTATTCTAGAGCTGAAGAATACGGGACAAACTGTAGGGGGATACCAACTTTGGTTGTTCCCAGGCGGGTGAAGGCAAAGTTAGAGTTGCTAGGGGAAAGAGCAATGGAAGGTGGAGCCTTGCAGGAGTCCCACGGAGCCCAGATTTATTTGCTCAGCAGCCGTGGTATGAAATCGGGAGGTGAGATGATATTGTTCCGAGCGTGGCACATCCTCATTTTTCCCCCTGATAATGAAGAAGTTAATGCATTGGGGAAAGTGGTTTGGTCTGCCTCATAGATCGTACAGTGAATTGCAGAATCAGAAAGACAAATAAATTAGTTTTAAATAGTTTGGTCCTCTTGACAACGATTGCCCTCAATGAATATGCACCACCATGTCAGTATAACATGAAACTTTGGAATCCTTTAACCCCTCAAGTTTCCCTCTCATAATGGAGTCATCTTGTGCTGAAAGTAATTCTGGCCTCAGAAGGCACACACTACCTTCTGCATGGAAGGTAATTGTCATCTGTGTGATGTGACCCTACATTCAAGCCAAAGACTTTAGTAGCTGCTTAATCTCCAAAACCAAGAACTATGAACTATGGGTAAATTTGCACTCATTAAGAATTTCACCTGATGTACTGACAGTAGGTCTTACTCCTGCATAGGACATACCTCTTAAAGAACAGAACCAACCAGGCTCCTGAGAAGATTAATTGTTAACTAATACACATTAAAAGACAACCCAGCCCTGGAAATGAAACTGAGTTTGTGTTTGCTAAGATGGGGATTAAGGCTCATTTTCAGCATTCCAGGATCCGGTTTGAGATTTGGAATTGATGAACAGTTCAGGTCCTAAGACAGTCTTTTCTCTAAAATACTCTGTCTGTCTGTCTGTCTGTCTGTCTGTCTGTCTGTCTGTCTGTCTGTCTACCCTGCCTGTCTGCCCATCATCCATCCATCCATCCATCCATCCATCCATCCATCCATCCATCCATCCATCCATCCATCCATCCATCCATCCATCTATCCATCTATCTATCTATCTATCTATCTATCTATCTATCTATCTATCTATC